TCAGTTCGCCGGATACCGAACTTCCGCATCAACGGTAGTCGTCTCAGCGCCACAGCCCCGTTCCTCTCCTGCCACACCTGCGCCTTGCGAAAAAACTGAAAAAATTGTCGGGTCAAGTAAGGGTCTGCTTAGGGGCCCGACATGCATGTTCTTCATGATCATTTACGGGGGAGGAAAACGATGGATAGCATGCCATTAACGGGGTGGCTGAATCAGGTTTTGTGGGGTTTGTCGAAGGAGCCTGTACCCTTGTTGTTTTAAAATCGAGCACGATTCTCGTAATGGCTCCTCGCAAGCTCGGATCCCGACGAACTTTGAGGATCGTGCTTGATGGCGACATTCAGAAAATGATAGGGGTCGGTTGAGGGTCATTCGCGCAAGTTCTTTTTCAACTGACACCAGTGATGGGCTAACATTTTTGATGCCGCTTGTCCTACAGTCTTTTCATTGCAACTATGGAGTGCTACTTCCTCGGTGCCTCTGTTGCCGACAACTTGATACACGTCAATCTTGCTACACGTCACACGACGCCTAAAGAAAACAACGACCCAGATCCAACAAAACAGACACTCGAGTATTCCATACATTGTCACACCCATAACCAAATGTCATGGAATAGTTTGGCCATCCCCCGCTAGAGGGCGTACAAATGACGCGCAGATGCAACATTCCTCAATGCCCTCCTCACTAAGACTGGCCATGTATGAGTACACAAGCAGTCGCGGTAATGGTGGACTATGTGCTGCTCAAAAAAGCGTGGCCGTCGATGGTATCGAGGGTCCCGCTCGACGCTCAAGTGTCGGCTGACACGCGCCTTGAGGGACTATCCTCTCGACGCTAGACATTCGCTAAGCCGGTTGCAGGACCTACCCTATTCAAACACCTGAGGGGATGAGTGGTAGGCGGGCCAATGCCCTTTGTGGCGGCTGAGTTCCATCATTGGAGGCCTGTAAACAGGTCAAAAGGTTTGACTTTGGCAGTTGTCACGGACTTGAACCTCCAACTAATAAAATCATAAAAAGCACATGGTCAAAGAGGAACCCGCTTCTCTCTCAGTGTAATTCGCATCGCCGGAATTGAGACAAGAAATGTTCAGATGCCCTTTCGCACATAAAATAAGCATAGTCGAAGGAATCAAATTTCTGGCAAGTTCGGATGTCGGCGCACTTCACTTTCTGTGATGTTGCCAGATCGTTCATGTCACCCCATTGCATGTTCGTGCCCTCCTCTTGCGGCGTCGGGGATTTTGTTAGATGTGTATAAGAGACAGAGGTATGATAACTGTTTAGCCAACCGTGGTTTGCGTGGCCACGTGTTTCGGCTTTATGTAATACTGTTTTCATGATTATTCATTTTTTATTTTTTGTACGAAATTGAAAATCCTCGTTTTAGAAAAAACTTGATGAAATTTAGGGTAGGGCGTTATGAAAATGCCCTACCCCC